TAAAGTTAAGCAAACATTATTTTATTATACAGCAAATTATCAGTTAGTTTACCATAGACTTACCTATAAATAAATGTTTAACTATATAAAAATTAATAAGGACTGCTTGGTTTTAAATATATATGAAATAAAAATACACAATCTCAATGACATAAAAGAGGAGGTAAAAATTAAAGTGTCCTGAAACCAAAATGGTATAGAAACACAGCAGTCTTTGCATTGCCTAGAAAGAGAGTAATGGTACCAATTAATATCAGACTTTGAAAAATCAAGAACGCATACTTCAATCTCTAGCACAAAAAGAGAGAAATGAAGGGAACAGCTACAGATGAAAAGAATCTTAAGGGAATATCAATCAACTGCAATGCATGGACCTTACTTGAATCTCAAATTAAACAAAACATTAAAAAATTTATAAAGAATTAGTGAAATGGATATTTTAAGATATTAATAAATATTTATTAATTTTTAGGTGAGATAATGGCATTATGATAATAAATTTTTAAAGGAGCCCCATCTTTTAGAGATACAGATGCACTGGAATATTGACATGTGAAATAATAATGATACGTGAGATCTGCCTCAAAATAAGCCAAGAAAGTGGGGAAAGGGGAGGCAGAGAGCCTGGGGATATAGATGAAGTAACACTGGCCCTGTATTGATAATTACTGAAGCTGAGTTACAGGCACATTGAGTGTTATTACAATATTCTTCCCATGTTTGTATATATTTGAAATTTTTCATTAATAATATTTCAAGAAAGGAGGTTGGAGGAGTGGAAAAAATATTTTAAGAAAAAGATATTTAAGAAAACTAAAAAATCAATTGGGAGAATATACATACAAGACACAATCAAGAAAGGATTATCTAGATTATATGTATGAAGAACTACAAATCAATACAAAAAGAAAAAAACATCACACTAGAATAATGGGCAAAAGACACAAAGAGGCATTTCACAGAAGTAATATATACGGCCAACAAACACAAGAAGAAACTCAGTAATCAAGAAAATGCAAATCAAGACACTGAGAGGTCATTTAGCAAAAACTACAAAGTCTGACAATTCTAAGGCTTACACACTGTGGATCAAAAAGATCTTATGCACTGGTACTACATGGAAAAATAATTTGATATTTTCTAAATCTCAGTTCAGTTCTAAAGCTGAACTTTCATATACCTCACAGTTCAGCAATTCTATTCCTCAGTTTAGAACTAAGAGAAACATTTGTATATATGTACTAGGACACACACGTAAGAATATTCCAAGCAGTGTTGTTTCTTAGAGCAAAAATCAGGAAAAAACCAGAATGGCATAGAAACACAACAGAATGTTATACAGCAGTGAAAATAACTCAACTACAGCTACAGGCAACATGAATCTTTAAAATATACTACTGGGTGAAACAAGTAAGTCAGATAATAGCAGGTTTGGCACAGCACTCTTCTTATAATTGTACAAATAATTAAAATCAAATAATACTTTGTTTATGTCTGTATATGTGGAAAAATGTTTTTCTAAGAAGCAAGGAAATGATAACCAAAATCAGAATAGGGTTCAAATTAGTTAGGTGCAGGTCAATAGGATAGGTTAGAAGAGATAAATGTAAATTATTGTCAACATTCACGTTTCTGGGTAGGTAGATGTTACTAACTTCTAAGAATGAACAAGGGAAGAAGAGTATATACTAAGAAGACCAGTTAGAAGCTACAGCAGTAGTCCAGGCAAAAGCTGATGCTGGTGGTCTGGGATGGTAGCAGTGAGGATGGAGAGAAGTACACAGATCTGAAGGCTATTTCAGAGGTAGAAATGAAAGAACTTGATAACTGACAACTTGTGGGGGCTGACTGAGAAGGAAGACTTATAAATGATTCTCAGGTTTCAGGTTTAAGAAACTGGATGGACAGTAGGGCCATTTAGCAAGAAAGGGAACCACAAGTTTATGACGTATTGCAAGGAGTTTAGGGGTGAACACTGTAGTCATCACCTTCATACTGAGTTTAATCATCCCCAGTATGAGGCAACATGCAGTGAAGGTGAGAATTAAACTATCCTCTGCTCTAGACGCACAAATCCTTGGTTTCTGCTAAAAAGCGTAACCCACATACATGGCCCAAATGCACATTTCTGGAGGTTCAGGTACATCTGTTTGGTGCTGAAGGAAAACTGGCTCTTTCCCCCTACCCAGACTTGAAAAAGGAAGCACTCAGTAGCTGCCAGCAGGCATTTTCTGAAGTCAGCTTTAAAGATGAAACTGATATAAGAGGAAGGCAAAGTCAAGACCACTATAAAGAAATGAAGCCAGGGAGCTGATGGAACCAAGATCCCGGGCTGGCCTGCCTCTGGCTCCTCCGTTATGTGAGCCTACATTCCTCTCACTGTAAAAGTCCATCGGAGTAGGCTTTCTATTGCTTACAACTGAAGACATCGAACTAATGCAGAGGATGGAAACAGAAAGGAGGTTTATAAATCACAAATCTAAATTACTAAGCCAGCTCAACTGAGGAAGAATAAGGAAGGTTTCCTATCCCTCATGCTGGGAATTTGAGTATCTGTTATTAAAAAAAAAATTATATATAATGTTGGTTAAAGTATCACCTGCTGTACCCTCAGATCAGACCATGTAACTACCAATACTGTAGCAGTGAGGATCTGATAGAGGTGAAAAATGAGGCCACCAGAATGTTTTGGCTATTCCTTATAGCTTTCATTGAAGTCCTATACACAGATGTTTATAATAGTATTCTTTGTACTTTTCAATGTTTTTAATTGTCAAGTGTGAAATATTTCAAATCCTAAGTACTGAAACAAAAATCCTAAGAAAATACACACTTCAGGGAGAAAGTCTTAGACCCTATTTGTTTCTGGTGGTTGTTTTAACATCTTATAATCTATTAGAATAAACAGAAACAACCTGGCCAAAAATCCGACTATGAATTTGGAGGCAAAGGAATTCAATAATTAAGTAATTGTTGCATCCAAATTTTAACTTTGAGAAATTATGAAATACAAAAGCCTGAGAACATCAATTAAAATAACAGAAATTCTACACATCAAAGGGACTCGCCAGCCTAAGTAACAAAGTGGCCTATCCACGATGGGATTACTACTTTTTGAAGTATTTAACAACAAAATGCCCTGATTTTCAAAAAATAAAATTCTGATAACTAGATCCTTTATTTTTCCCAGTACGTGAAAGCCAATTTCAAATTTCTGGGGAGCTAACTAAATAAGCTTTTACCATAAAAAAAAATAATATAACCTAAAAAAACCTCCAAAATAAGCTCTTACCATAGAACGATTTCAAGGTTAGTAAAGATGTGATGATTTATTCTGATGCCCATGTTCAAGGTTTTAGGCAGCACATGACTTGAGAATTACCAAGCTCACCACTGCCATACTGTAGTCCTCACTCTTCTTAACTCTTTCATCTCTTTTTGTTTTCCCTAGTTCTCTTTAGGGTGCCCTTCTACTGATCTGTCTTCACCTGATTTACTGTCCATTTCTTCCTTTCCTTTGTCTTTGAACGTGTCTAGTTTTCTCTGAATGTGTCCCAGGACGCTTCTCACCCTCTCCTCTTTCATCTGGTCTTTCCATTCTCCCTCTGCTATCTCTTCACTCTCCCTTCTTCTCCCTTCTTTAGCCATAGTACTTATTTAGCATGGAATCAAAATTTATAATCTCTGCCTTATTTTTAGGCTGTAAGACATTTTTATTTCTGACTTTAAAAATATTGTTTCATAGGGGAGAGGGGAGAGCTCAGTGGTATACTGCATGCCTAGCGTGCATGAGGTCCTGGGTTCAATCCCCAGTACCTCCATTACAAAAATAAATAAATACACCTAATTACCTCCCCCCATAAAAATTTTTTTTAAATTGTTTAAGTTAATTTGTGTTGTGCTGACCCTGAACTGACTTACTCAAGTGAGTCAGTGTCAGGATAAGGTACTGTTTACTGACCACAGAATGACAGTTTTTACTGAGGTTTTTGGGATCAGAAGAGTCATTCCTTGGATAGTATAAAATTAACCTCCTGGATTAATTTAAATTGCTAAAAAGTGGTATTAGAATTCTAGAACTTATGTCTCATGTACACTCTTGTTTTAAAAATTCAGATTTCTTTAAATAATTTTTAGTAAATGGATGGAATATCTAATTTGATAACATCTTATAAAAGTGTTGTGAATTTAGTAAGTGCCTATATGTTGTTACTTGGCCTTGGCACTTCTATGGTTTTACCATTAATTCACAGAATCCTCAATATTATAAAGTATTAGCATTCTACAAATATATGAACTCATTTTGCACAGAGAGAAAAATGAAGCGGCGAGAATTAATCCATCCAAATCAGACGGTACAGTACAGCAAGGATCAGAAACCTGAACCCACGGTTCCCAGAATATAAGCATTAACCTCTGTGCTTCCATCATTTACCATTTATTTTGTGTTTTTTTAATCATACCCAACTTAATTCTCCTAAATACAAATATAGCAACTCATTTCTGTTTTAATTAGGAGTATGTTTAGTTTCCTTCTATCATTGTAAGGTTTAGAAGAAAAATGTTCTACATGGAGAAAAATTAAAATAGAACCCTAAACATAAATAAAGAGAAAACAAGTTACTATAGTCCAGGGGCAATTGCTGTTACATAATAAAGAAAAGTTAGCTTTAAAAGTCAAACAGAAACCCTCATAATCAAATGTACAACTCAGCTATATTTCACTGGAAGAGAACAGCTTGACTAAGGTAACTACAATTTTACCAAACAATGTGTCTCAAGTGTTGTGAATCTCCCTAATATTACACAGGTTAAAATGTGACATACCCCAGGACAGTAAGTCATTCTGGCATCTAACCAGCCTTCAGAAGGGACTTAACACTGATTCATTTCCTTTTTAACTGTGATTCTAAGTTGACAACCCTTGGCAAGGCAGTACAGAAGAGGGATGACTCGGAGATAAACATTCTTAAAATGGAGTAAGCAGGTGAGGTACTAGCCTGTCATATGCAGCAATCATGAAGTTGAGGAGGAGGCTGATGGACTGCTCCACGCTGATTTGGTGAGTAGAAGGAAGGCGCTTGTTCAGCTGGTAGTAGATGGATGAGATGACGGTCTCGAGGCGGGACACACTTATCTCAGTGGTATGGTCCAGTGTATTAAGGCCATTGTCTCGGAAGGCTTCAATCATGTTCCAGATATCAACAAGATGGACTAGAACACATAGAAAATAAACTGTCAGCAATCTAAAAGTTTTAATCCAGCAGAAAGATAGAAGAACTTTACATTTATTTACATCTAATAAATAGTGAAAGATAGCAGAATATGTCCCCCTAAAATATGCCACTCTGGCATAAGGATTAGTTTGAGCTAAAGACACCTGCAAAACAGCACATGCCAAGAAGAGCACTCTGATCTCCCCTTTTCTTCCCAAAAGCTGGAAATAAATGTCCCTTGTGAAAAATGTCCTCCCTATTCCAGGAGGAAAGAAACGTCCTCATCACCAGAGACAATGAATTGAGGCTAAGAGAAATCTGCACAGACTTTGTTAAAATAACTCTTATCTTTAGTCTCTTGATATATTTTAGTTACTTTTCCATAATCACTACTCTTTGTTCAGCTTAGTACACAAGCACCTGGGCCTGTTCATTTCTTTGAGTCTTCATTTTCCTATGTGAGCTCCCATGTACATGTAAAATCTGTATGCTTTTCTCCTGTTAATCTGTCTTATGCCAATTTAATTCCCAGGCCCAGCTGGAGACCCTGAGAGGGCAGAGGTAAAATTTTGCCTCCCCTACAACAGTGTCAAAAACACACAATGCAAAATGTAACAGAACCTCAAAGAGACAAATTCTCAAACTTTGTGGGAGACAGTAACACACCTCTCTTAGCAAGTGACAGAGCAAACATACAAAAAGATAAGTACAGTCATAGACAATTAAACTCTGTGACTAACAAAGCATAATGGACACTATATGAAGTCTTGCCCCTAATGATTAGAAAACATGCTTTACTGTGACGGGTACAAAGAACAAGTATAAAAATTGACCTTATCCCAAGTCATAAAGGTAATCTCAACAAATCTCTAAGGATTGAAATCATACAAACCATGCTCTCTGATCAAAATGAAATTAAATCAGAAAGCATTATCAAAATGAAATCCTTTTTATAGGATCATCAGATCCTAATCAACATAAATATGCATTAATTATTAGTACAAGTACCGGAAATAAAGAAAGGTAACTGTCATTATTCAGAAATAACAAAATTATACACATTGAAAATTCACAGATTCTACACATATCATCACTAAAATTAACATTTGGGTCTAGAATGACTGCTAGATACGAGACAAGATATGAAAGTCCCTGTATTTCTTTATATCAGTAACAGATAATAAAATTTTAAAACACAATTTATACTAGGATCATAAATCATCAAAGACTTAGGAATAAATCCAATAAAGGATGTACATCTCTACCAAAAAAATCTATAAATATAATCAGCAGAAATTAAAGAACTAATAAACAGAGGGATATACCATGTACACAGGATGAAATCTCAATATTGGAAATATGTTTATTCTTCCCAACTTGATCCACAGATTCAGCGTAGTTCCAAAAAAATCCCGCAGGGGAATACATTAAAAGGGTAAATTTTACTACATATAAATTACACTTTAAAAAAGAAATGAAGAAGGAAAAATAGCATGGTTCTTTGTTTTACTTTGTTTGTTTTTAGCACAAATTATAAGCAGATTCTAAAATCTGTATGAAAATAAAAGTAAAAAAGCCAAGAATGTCCCAGATAATCTTAAAAAGAAAAACAGAACAAAGTAGGAAGATGTGATCTACCTGATAACAAGAACTTATTATAAAGCTGTAACAGTGATTATTGGTATAAGGATAGACAAACAGATCAATGGAACAATGAGTCCAAAAGCAGATCTTACATATGGACACAGTATGAACATTCTTGTACATTTCTCCTAATGAATATGAGGAAAAGATGTTTTTAGCAACAAAGAAAAAGAATGATCTTTTCAATAAACAGTATAGGGACAATTGAACATACATACGGAAAAAATTGAAATTTGACTCCTACTCATACTCTCTACACCCATAAAAAAATTTCAGGTGAATTGAGGAAACACATGTAACAAAATAAAACTTCGAGAACAATGCCTCTTTTACTTTATAGCCTGGCTCAACCCATTATTCTATGTTCCAAGAATAATTACAGGAAGAATTATAAAAATGGTAGTTGCTCTAGGACAGCGGTTTTCAAATGTTTTTACCACAACCCACAGAAATATATTTAAATCAACACACACACACGTTTCACAAAATACCTTACCACATTAAGCTACATTCTTTTTTTTTTCCTTCATTTTCTCTATTATATGCTGTACATTCGGTTACAGCCTACCAAAAGGATTTCAGGAAACATTAATGGGTCACAGCCCGTAATTTGAAAAACACTGCTTTGGCAAACCAGAGAAGAAACATGACTTCAGCCTAACTGAAGTAAACTCTTCGGGAGAATTTTAACCTAGGATTTTTGAGTAGGACTTAATGTAGTGTAGAAGTATTTAGATCAGAAGTGACTTGCCCAAGGTCACGTGTTTATAATAAATGGTAAAACTGAGGTTTTCCCATTCCAAGGCAAGTGTCCTTTGACATTACACAAAACAGTTTTTCATTAAAATACACACATACCCGTATATGAAAAAGCACAATAATTCAGTCTAAGTTAGTTCATCTGCACACAAATTAAGAGAGATTTTATATGCGTGTGTCTATACAAACACATATATACATATATTTTATTTACTTATTTTATATGTAGCAACTGTGGAAGCAATTGCTTATAGAAAAGGCTGATGTGTTATATTAACTTTAATAAAGTTAATTTTTTATACCTTTATCAAAATGTTAGTTTTTCTTTTCCTCTAGAAGCTGATAAGTTGTATTAATTTTGTATAAAACTTTTAATTAAAAACGGTGACAAGGAGAAATCAATTCTCCCATTGAGAGAATACTATACCAGTCTCAAAACTAGTTACATTATTGAGTTTCTTAAATATTTTGAGGGACACCCAGAATAAAACAAGTTCTCTCCATTTCAAAGCTTATATTCTGATAAATACTAAAGACAAAAATAATTCAATTAACATTATAAGATGACTAAAAGATATTAAAATCTTTTATACCATCAAGAGCTTTATTCAGCTATCACAGAAATGAGTAGAAATAATGACTTACGGTTGCATCGTTTTTGTACAAATCGTAATTTGCAAGCTGTTCTGTACGTTGATAATCGTATGACATCAAAATTCTGAGCACCTGAAAAAGGACAAGTAAAAAATCATCATCTAGATCTACCATTTAATTTCTACGTGCTGGCAAAGTGCTTCTACTCCACTGTGTTAGCACAGTCATGCCAATAGACAGCATGTCAACAAGGCCTTCTTTGGATGAAACACAAAGAGGGGAGGAAGGGTTAAGAAACACTTTCTGTGTGCCTTCTCCATGCCAAGCACTCTGCCAGTAGTTTTGCCTACATCATCCTGGCTGCCAGCCTAAGAAAACTCTGAGGGGAGGACCGCTCATGACTTCAGTGAAGGAACTGTATACTCAGCAAAGTGAAGCAAACTGGTATAGTAGGAAAGACCCTAGCCTAGAGTTAGGAAAGCTAAATTCCAGCCCTAGTTTGCCCACCAACCTGCCAAGATTGTGGCCACATTATGCATCTCTTCTCAGCTTCAGTGTCCTCATCTGTAAAATGAGGGAACTGGAGTAGTTGATCACTAAGGTCCCCTTATGGTGTGTGGTAGCCTGTATTTTTCAAAAAAATGGCCACAGTGGTATTTCCAGACCAGTACACTATGTGCGTCTAGTACACTGCCCCTCCCCATCAAGAACTAAAGAATACGCCCCCCACTTGCATCTGAGGCTGTTCTGACTGTCTCAGTGAACAGAGTGTGGCAGACGCAACCCTGCACAACTCCTGAAGACAGGTGATGAAAGGTGGGGCAGGCTGCCCCTGCTCTCACTCTCAGGATGCTTGCCGTTGGAGCCCAGGGACCACTGTTGGGAAGAAGTCCAAACTAGCTGATGTGGAGAGAGCACACAGAGATGCTGACGTGCGGAGGAACTGAGATGCTGACGTGCGGAGGAACTGAGTCTATCAGCCAAAGTCATCAGCAACCGTCACACTTGTCAGTAAGCAAGGCCTCTAGTGATCCAGCCCTGAGACCTCGAGTCTTCCACCTGAGACCTCAGATATTATGCAGCAAAGACATCAGCACTGGATGTTGTTCTAATTTTAGACCCCAAAAATTCATAAACAAAAAAAATGACTCTTTGGGGATAACTGATATATAACCACAGTAACTACAACAAAGCCTAAATTACATGAGCCTACAAATCAAACTTGTTTTCACGTCAAAATTTGCTATAAAATTCTCCTTGAATTTTAAGGTCACTTCAGGGAACTTTGGCCTCCAATGTTTTTCACTTCATCTATGCTGCCTTTGTAAGATCTGGCAGCAACTTTTGACTCAATAAAGAGAAAGTGAACTAGCATGAATTATCTTCTATCAATATTTATAGTCATCTCTATTTCTGCTTATTTCACAGAATTTTTTTTTAAAAGGAAGGATTTTTCCAGGTTTTTGGTGAAAGTAGTATTTATTGACCAAAAAGTGAAGCAAAGGTTTCTCTTAATCTCACTTCAACCTTTACCTTGATGTCACGATTGAAATTATTTCCTCCATCATCCAGTTCTCACAAAGCTTCTATCCTTATATATATATATATATATATAGTCCTACTTTTTTTAATATAAGAAGCTTTTTTGAAATATAATTCACATGTAATTCACCCATTCAAAGTATTCAATTTAATGGTCTTTACAGAATTGTATAACCATCACCACAACTGATTTTAGAACATTTTCATTATCCCAAAAGGAAACCACTTCCCTTTATGAGTCACTTTGCCCATTTTTTAATTGGGCTTTTATCTCTTCATTATTGAGTTGTAAGAGTTCTTTATATGTTGTAGATACAGTCCCTTATGAGATATATGATTTGCAAATTTTTTCACTCATTCTGTGAGTAGTCATTTCAATTTCTTGGTTGTTTGCATGAAAGCACAAAAGTTTTTAATTTTGTTCCAATATATCTATTTGTTCTTTTGTCACTTGTGCTTTTGGTGTCATACCCAAGAAGGGTTGCCTCATATAAGTTCATGAAGATTTATACTTATGTTTTCCTCTAAGAGTTTTATAGTTTTAGCTCTTACATTTAGGTCTATGATATACTTTTTAGTTAATTTATTATGTGGTGTGAGGCAGAGGCTCAAATTCATTCTTTCACATATGGATATTCACTTGTTTCAGCACCATTTCTTCAAAAGACTATGCTTTCTTCATTAAATGGTCTTGGCCTCCTTGTGAAAAATCAAGTGAACAAAGATGTATGGGTTTAATTCTGAACTTTCAATTCTATCCCATTGATTCTATGTCTGTCCTTATGCCAGTACCACTTAATCTGGATTACTCTAGCTCCGTAGTTCTCAAATTCGGAAATGTGAGTCTTCCAACTTTGTTCTTCTCTTTTGAGACTGTTTTGGCTATCTTGGGTCCTGTGAATTTCCATATGAATTTTAGAATCAGCCCATCCATTTCTGTAAAGAAGCCATCTTCTATGGGGATTGCGTTGAGTCTGTGGATCAATTTAGGGAACACTGCCATCTTAATGATAAATTTTTCTGGTATCTTACAGGATATCTTTCCATTTATTTAGGTCTTCCTTAATTTCTTCCAACAATGTTTTACAGTTTTCAGAGTATAAGTGTTATACTTCTTCTATTAAATTTATTCAGTATGATTTTCTTTTACTCATTTATTTCTTAATATATTACTGTCTCAGCCTAAATATTTTAAATTCGAATCATTAAATATTAATTATTCAAAAATTAAACCAAACCAATGGTTTTAAAAAAGAATACTGACAAATGTTCAAGGGCACTTAATAAGTAACCTGTTATTAAACTACTGCAGGTAATTTTAATGTCTAAATATTTATTTTTATGAAATATTTTTATGAGAAACACTGAGAAAACTAATGTGAACAGCTAGGAAAGGAAAATTCCATCCCCAACTGACCAAACAGATAGACTATTAATCTCATTGACGAGATTGCAAGGCATTTATTAGGCCACGTTTGCTAGTGAAGAAGTAAAAGTGCAGGAAAAAGTCAGTGCATCTGTTGTAACTCACTCTCTTCAGACTTTTTCTCCAGTGCAGTTAGAGTCAGATTTGGGTACTGCAAAAGATGAAACAGAGCCGATATCACCCAAGTCCAAAGCTAACTAGTTTAGGGAAGCAGGAAACTCCATATGCTTCAGCCCAGTGCCAGAAATCTCTACACTGAAGTATCAGGAACTAGTAAGAATCAAGTTATCACTCTGCTTTCCTCTGCAACTGATGCTTATAAAAACGTATCACTCTAAACCCAATGGGGAAGAGGTAGAGATAACAGTGGGATGGTATAGGATTCAGAAATTCTAGGAAGTCCTGGCCATAATACCATTTTTTTAAAATCTAGTTGCAGTCCAAATCCAAAAATAATTCCTAGAAGTTAAGACATAATCAATAACCTTAGAACTTTATTAAAATCTTATTGTAGCAACATTCAACCAATCAGGTACTCAAACCTCCCAGAGGTTCTCCTCCTTCTGGAGCAGTCACCTTTACTGATTTCCAAAAGGAGAGTCCTCATAGATTGCCTAATTGTAGCCTTCAATTTTTTAATACTTCCCCTAGGTAAGTATCATATTGATTTCCTGATCAGAAAATATGGTAGTTTGGCACATACAAAATAGAAAAGCCCCCAGCAAAAAAACTGAAATGATCAGATTATCCCTTTGGGAATTCTGGACTTAAAAATAATTACTTTTCATTATCATTCATTTCAAGAGTATTTCATTATAAGAAATACAGTAAAATGTCATTTTAATTCTAATGTCAGACAATGTTTCAAGCTCATCAAAAATGGTACAGAGTCCTAACTAAATATCCAAGCAGAACACTGGCCCCAGTTAGAAAGCCCAGTGAAATTCCTGAACAGACAGGGGACAATATGGAGACACTGGGTACTCAAGAGATACAGGAGAAAGACAGGGAAATGAAGAAAGGATTAACCCTTCTTTGTACATTATGGCTCTCCTTGTTCATGAGACTAGGATATGAATGTTCTATAGTATAACCAAATCCCAAGAAAAAAGAGTCAAATGTAAGAGTTTTATTGTTATCTGTTTGTATCAGAAGCTTGTATCAAAATCTCCAGGGGAAGAATCTGCAATCCTCATTCTTAACAAATGTCCCTAGAGAGTCATATAAAGCAAGCTAGTTTTGGAAAACACAAGACTACCCAACACAACTTAAAGGTTTGGCTCATGCACCTCTCAAATTTTACCGCACACCCAACTCCAATCAGTCTGGACTGCATACAATTACCCAAATATGACACGCCTTCCCACCTCTGGGCCTTTGTGATAGTGCCCCAGCCCTCCCCTCACCACATCATTGGGCTGACTCAGCCAAGACACTTCCTCCCAGACCCCTGCCTTGACCTCCCATGCTTCCCCTATCATGGCTCCCACTGCCCTATCATTCCTTGTTTCCATTTCATGGAAACTAAGCTCCATGAAGGCAAAGACCCATTTACTGTTGTATTATTCATTAATATATGCCACAAAGTAGGATGTAATAAAACTAGCAACTAAGTATTTGTTAGAATAAATAACTGAAAATTAGGAAGTTCTCAGTTGCCTGGTATAAAAGACTCTGATCTCCTTTTTCCTAAAAATATAAAGAGTAAATAAATACAAAAGGTTAGACAAACCATACAACTGTGGACACTAGCAAGGAAAAGCTAATAGGGGAAGGTGATAAAAACAATGGGGAAGCCAGCTCTGTTTCCTGGGTAAACATGCTGATGCTTTTAGCCTTCTTCAGGTAGGGCAGAGCATTCCAAACCATGTTCTAGGAAGCCACAGGATTTGGTGGAGGTGTTCAGCAGACCAATGGGAGGTACAACAAAGAAAATATACTTTGTTGAAAAAGGAATCTAACTGGGGAAATGGCGAGAAGGGAAGGAGAAAGGGGAGAAAGGGGAGAAAAGATTATAAATCTAATAAATGTAAGTAGAGTAACATTTCTGAATTGTCTGAAAATTTTTACAAGCACTTCTAATGAGGAAAAAAATTTTTTTCAAAAAAAAATTAGTCTGAATAAGCAACAAAAATGAACATGAATGACTTCCTCATTTTTTTCTTGGTGGTACAATTAAAAACCCTAGGGACCAGAGGTGAAGCCAGAGGTCCCAGCAGAGAGGAAGGTACAACCACTGAAGGGTGACTCCATCAGTGGATGAAGTAGGAAAAAAAGTTTAAAAATTCCACAAAAGGAAATGGTAGAGACACATGCCTAGCTCCACCAAAATTTAGATTTAAATTTTTGTAAATAATGGCAAGCAAAGAAAGTGATAACCAAATAGGCTGGATAAGACAAAAATTGATTATACAAAATAAAGTCTAATTCATGGAGTTCAAAACATAATACAAAAGACAGCATATATTTCATAAAAGAGGTGCTCTAAAATATTCTAATATTCCTGTATTACTTTGAACAAAGTTATATTTATTGATAGGATCTGGACTTCATTTTAATTGACATTAAAATTTCTGGGGTAACCACAAAAAGAAAAGAAAAAGAACATAATATAACTCACAACTAAGTAGAGGAGGAAAAGTAGAACAAATGGAAGGAAGCTCAACTCATTTGAGAGAAGTCAAGGAAGGAGGAAAAACAGAGAAAGGACAAAATTGAAGCACAAAATAAAACGGAAGAAATAAAATATATCAGTATTCATAAAAAAAAGTTAAACAGAATAAATCCTTCAGTGAAAAAGCCAAAACTGTCACAATGGTCAGTTTTGCTTTGTTTTCTAAATAAACTAACTTATGCTGTTTACAGGAGATATACATAAAACATAAGGATACAGAAAATTTTTTTAAAGAATGAACAGATATACTGTACTAGGCATGTAACCAAAAGAAAGCTGGTATAGTTATATTAATATAACACAAACACAGACTCACAGTGGGAAGGGTAACAGCTCAGTGGCAGAGCACATGCTTAGCATGCATGAGGTCCTGGGTTCAATCCCCAGAATATTTATTAAAATAAATACATACATACAATATTTTTTTTAAACTAGACTTCACAGCAAAAAAAAAAAAGCATTACTAGAAAAACAGGTACCCATATAATGACAACAGATCCAACTTCCTAGGAAGGCATAACATTTTAATATATATACACTAAGAACAAAAGCTTCAAAACACTGACAAAACTATAGGGGGAAAATTTAAAATCCACCATCAAAGCAGAGATTTTTAACATCTTTTAATAATTAAGATCAATCAGTCAAATCAGTAAGAACAAAAAAGATTTTAATAAAACATATAACAAGCTTGACTGAGATAATAATGCAAAGAACATACACATTACTTTCAAGCATTCGTGGAATATTTAGAAAAACATATAATGGAGAGGACCAACAAAGCCAAAAGTTCCTTGAGAAATACAATAAAAGTGACATTTTGGGGAAGGAAAAATAAAACCAGAACCTGTGAGCACAAAGGCCTGGTGTCAAATATTTTATAGACTCATCTAGACAGCTTTTACTTTAGCACCAGAGTTGAGAAATGATCACCTTTCATTTTTCTTAGTAATTTTATATTAAGTAAAAATTATAAACTATCAAATTTTCTATGTAATTTATTCTCCTCTTCCTTTAATAAATATTTATTGAGTTGCTGGAGCTACCATGATAAATACATGTGATTCTTACTCTTGTGATGCTTAGAGTCTAGAAGATAAAATACTAAGCGAAAGAATGAACCAATTTCATCACTAATGATGTGTCAGTGTAGGTCCATCAATTGTAAGAGATGTTCCACTCTGGCGGGCGAGGGTTGACAGTGAGGGAGGCTATGCGTACGTCAGGGCAGGGGGGCAAAATTAAGAGACAGCTCTTAATTTTGCTATGAACTTAAAACTGCTCTAAAAAAAATAAAGTCTTAAAAAAAAAGATATACATGTAGTTACCTACCTAAGTAGAAGTCTATAAACTAACCATTAAGATTAATAAAAGAGTGAAGAAAGACCATTAGATTCAAAACTGACATACTACAATCAACCCAACACCCAGATGACAGGGCCAAGTAATAAGGCTGGCAAAAGGTGACTTTTGCATTCTTACAAGGTAATTATGCTGGAGACTTGGGGTGATGTTGACAATGAGAGTGGGGCTTCCAACAGCAGGTACCACTGGTACCAGCGCAATTCTTTCTGTGAAGAAATGGAGGAGACTCAGGAAGCCACCTCCACCAAACATCATATTCTTGAGTTTGTTACAGAGAATGGTAACTTATACAAAGTTTATGCATCAGTGATAGCATTCACTAAAGAGTAAACTCAGTTCTTTGCAGAATACCCAATTTCTACTTCAAATACCTACCCTACCACGCTCTCTCATATGCCCATGTAAGTGTACCTACCCTCTGTAATTCTTAGTATCAAGAATTACAGTTTATTTGGTTTCTGTTTTTGT